CACCCTCACCCCCTGGCCACCTCATCCCCTGCACCACCCTCACCCCCTGCACCACCCTCACCCACTGCACCACCCTCAGCCCCTGACCACCCTCACCCACTGCACCACCCTCACCCCCTGCCACCTCACCCCCTGCACCACCCTCACCCCCTGCATTGTTACCAACCCGTCCTGTGGATTTTCCCCTCCCCCTCCTGCTCCTACACCTGGGCGCTGGCCCCTGCCTCCCCGGCCCCTGGTACAGAACCAGGGAGGCAGTGGGCAAAGGGTTGGCAGGCTGTTGGGCTGGGAAACAGAGACTTTCAACTAGAGCTGATCTTTGGCCACGAGCATCTTAATTTTTGAGTCTGTGACCTTTCAGGGGACCGTTCACAGACTTGAAGGAAATACTTGGAAGCTCTATGTGGACTCTCACCTGAGGTCACGGCTGGTGTCGTGGGCTCCAAATGGAAGGTTTGGGACAAAGGATCCTGGTCTATTCCCTCCTCACCCAGAACCTGTTGGGACCATAATCCTGGGTCAAAATGAAGGACATTGGCAATGACCCCAAAGAAAATGCTCTGGTCTATTTGAATCATTCGGCCAGATTGGGTTTGTTGTTGTTTTGGTGGATGGGTTTTTGTTTGCTGATTTACCTTTAGTAAGTAAGTTGGTCGTGCAGAGCCTCCCCAAATTACACAGGTGGTTCAAGAGTATTAACATTTCCTTCGCTATCGTCATTCCGCTTTAATCCAGATTTTCTAAAAGTCTGATAGGAGAGGGAGCCTCCTCTGTGTTCTGTGACTGTCCCAGGGAGTGGTAGCGTGCGCACACACACACACACACACACCACTGCCACACACACACACACCACTGCCACACACACTTATACACACCACTGCCACACACACTTATACACACCACGACCACTGCCACACACACACACACACAACACAGCCACACACATACACACACACACACACCAGCGACACACACACAAAAGGCATTGGATCGGTGTCTGAAATACTTCATTTTTTTAGGAACACCACTGCCACACACATACACACACACACACACCACTGCCACACACACACACACACACCACTGCCACACAGATACACACACACACACACCACTGCCACACACACAAAAGGCATTTTGGTAAATGCTGGCTGTTACCGGAATTATCCCGGGTAGTAGCTGCTTGCTTGGTAGTCTCTAAACCTGTTAAACAGGTAGAATTTGCACTGAACTTTAGGTCTGGTAGTTTAGGGAGAAGAGAGAGAGAGAGAGAGAGAGAGAGAGAGAGAGAGACAGGTGCTTTACAAAGGATCTGCCACAGAACAACAGTCCCCTGAACAGCGGGGCATCCTGCGCCATCGACAGTGCCCAGTTCTGAAAACACAGATCCCTGTGCTCAGTCCACACGGGCCTCTTGGCTCCCCAAATGCGCAGCTGCCCAGGGCCTTTGCACATGCTGCTCTCTCAGCTGGGCGCCACCCCCAACCCCCGCCCCAGCCTCCAGCCCTCCCTGAGGTGGCTTCCTTTTCAGCCTCAAGCCTTGGCAAATGTCAGAGGTCTTTCCTGGCCATCAGATCCACATGTGTCCTCACCTGGTCCTCCCAGCACCACAGAGCTCTCTTCACTCTTTCACTGCACACCCTAAGGTTAACACACGATCATTATTTCATCGTCCACGCATTCATCCAGGGGGCAGGGAGTGAATGTGCTTTTACTCACCACTGTGTATGTAACACCCAGCACAGCGGTTATCATCGAGTAGGTACTTAACATTTACAGAACTGAAGGAGAGAAGAAAAATGGTCTGTAGTAGCATTACCTAAGATTAAGAGGAGAGCCACTCCTGACACTTTCAGGTTAAAACACACAGCTCTGGCTGGTGTGGCTCAGTGGATAGAGCGTCGGCCTGCAGACGGAAGGGTCCCAGGTTGATTGCAGCCAAGGGCACATGCCTGGTTTGTGGGCTCGATCCCCAGTGGGGGTTGTGCAGGAGGCAGCCGATCAATGATCCTCTTTCATCATTGATGTTCCCATCTCTCTCTTCCTCTCCCTTCTTCTCTGAAATCAATAAAAATATATTTTAAAAACTCCACACACATGACCATATAGTATAGACTATCTTGTAATCTTCATTTTTTACTCAGTCACAGGTCGTTGGCCTATTTCCATACCAATCGATATTTTTCCAGGTTCTACAACATGACTTAAAGGTATGGCTGAACTCTCATCTGTTTAACTAATTACTATGGTTGGCTAGTTTCCAAAGTCTGCAATCATAAGTCACATCGTAATGAAATCTTTATAGCCAAACGCTCCCTCAGTCTTCATAGCTAGAGAGCCTTTCATTATTAGGACGAAGGTTTTTCAGGCGGAACTTCGGGGTCAAAGGCCCTCCTCAGAGCTGCGGCCACATCCTGCTGACGGTCGGAGGCAGCGGCTTTCCGTCTCCGGGTCCCCAGTGCCTTGCACATGGTTGACTCCCAAGCCTTGTCTGTGCCTCGATGTACCTCTCAGGCCTGGATATTCAGGGCTCTCCTGCCTGGGCCACGCCTGCCGTTCTGGTATGACTTCCACTTGTAAGCTGGGTGGCTTTGAGCAATGAATTTCCCTCAACCTGGGCTGTGTCTTTACAGGATGAGGATAGTCATGGGCAGCCTTCATGGTGCCCATGAGAGGGGCTGGGTGTGCACAGTCTCAGAAGGGAGTCTGGCCCGCGACAAGGGCTCATACATGTCAGCTGCTATCCTCGCCGCCGATCCCCACCATGTGGTCTTCATGCCTGACTTGGCTCAGCCCTTCTCCCTCCTTGCTCTCACCTGTCATTGCAAAGCCCAGCTCACCCCACGCTCCCCTTTCCTCTCCCCGAGGCTTCCCGCTCAGGACCCTCTCGGATGCTCATCGGATACTCACTGACCCAATTTTTTAAATTTTCGAAGAAGGCCTATGGCTCAGACATCTATGTACGAAAGCTTTGCAGAGACCAAGTCCCCCTGCGTGTCAGAGCCAGGTG